TACTTCATGCAGCAGGGATTCCCGACGGCCTTAACTACTGCTCAGTCTGACCAGCCAGCCATTGGTGCTTCCTAAATGAAAAATAATAATTCGAACCACACATCATTTCTGATGCCGAGTTTTCTCCTTGGTACCATACCTACCGCTGTTCTTGTTTCACCATCCCATTTTCTTTTTTGCCCTCTGTGACTGGCTTTGGGGCAACTACACGTTCCAAAGCTGATGAATCTTTCGGCATCTTCAAAACTAGCTATCATAACACTTCTGCTTACTATTTTGTGCCAACTTTGTCTTTTACAAAGTCCTACCTGTGATGTCTCCAATCAGCATGCAACATGGACAATAGTAGCACCTGCCTAAAAAAGCAGCAGGGACTTTACACAGAACTCTGCTCTAAAATACTTTCATTACACTGATACAATGTTTTCCCTACCAAGGCCTTGGGGTTTTTTTGTTCCGCTGTGGGTTTGGGTTTTTTGTTTGCTTGTTTGTTTGTTTTTAAATTAATGCCAGGAAGGGAGCTTCAAGCAGAACTACAGACCACCAAAGGGAAGTTGGGGTGTTTGTTGGGAAGTTCTTTCACGATTCCTTTCTTGTCTCCTGCCCTTGGAGCAGCTTTGGTCACTTCTGTCACGTGCCAGATATTGGACAAATGAGAAGAATGAAGAAATCGCTTTTGTAACAAAATTTATTTTTGCTCTGTGGATACAAATCCCAAACATCAACAAACAAATTCCAGTGGAAAAATACCAGTCATTAACAATGAAAACTTTTATTATTATTTAATAAATAGAACTTTGGCATTCAAAATTCTAGCTGTAAACCCTACTTTAAAAAAAAATTACAAAAAGAGGCAAGAACAACAAGCCTAAAGCTGAGCCAGCCAGTGGCTCCTTTAATTTTTACAATGAACACATTGTGATTAAGTCATGACAACTCTATTTACATATTAGGTATTCTGAGTTTTTTTGAACCCAATTTACAAAACCACCAGTCTTCAGGGACTGATCCAGTATATATGTCAGCTGTGCTTTTAAAAGATAGCTCCAGACACTCCTCCCCACTGAACTAATGATACACTGTAATTAATATACACAAAATAAACACATTATGATTTGAGTTTCCTGTTGACGCTTCATATTCAAAAAAGCTGCATACTACGACCAGCCTAACATTCAAAGTATACACCTAGTACCCAGTTTAAGTACTTCTGTTTCTAGGCATTATGCGGAGTTCTTACTACAAAAGCATATAAACAAAATACCGGCAGGTAAAGAGGAAAAAAAAGGTGCAGTCATCAGCATCCTAACAACTTATCTAAAGTTCAAGGGGAATATACACTTTCTTCAGGCAAAAAAAAGGCACAAAGGTATGCAGCTGTGGAATTAATATTGCTAATGAGCTACCAGAATAAGTCATCCCTAGAGATAATAACCATTGATTTGTTTGCAGTCTAAGAATGCAGATTAGTTCAGAAGACCTTTTCCCCACTCATGACAGAACGCGTCACGTCAATAAGAAGAGTCCAATCATACCTCCAACTCCACCTGTGTAACATCATTGATAAGGACAAGGAAAACTAGAGCAAACTACATCCACGTGGAGAGACTGCAGCGTGCCACCACCGCCCGTGCTAGGGCAGCAGGTCGTGGAGGAAAGGGTTTGCTTCCTTTCTTTCCTTGTGCTATTACCCTGCAAGAAAAATGTCCAAAAAAACGTTTGAAACCAAAGGCGGACAGCAAGGGCAAAGGAAGGAAGGAAGCCTTTTCAAGTGAAAAGGACCAAATTTCAGCTCTTGTAATGACTTCATGGCCACCAGCAGTTTCGAATGCTGGAGCCCGAGCGGGTGGTGCCAGCAATCTCCACAATTTCACACAACTATCACACTACAAAGCTGCACAGCGGAGGCTAGCAACCTAAATCATGTTTACACAACTGAGCTGCGTTACTTCTATATAGTTAATACATAGCATCACCTATAGCTTGTCCGAAGACAGTTACTTTCCAAGTTTTTTTTTTTTTTTCAAAATACATTCTTGAATACAGTAGTTACTGTAAATATCTTCTAAAGGATTGTATAAATTCAATCTGAAACTATACAAAAAATTACTGTACAAATTTGCTGACAGCCAGAACGGTACAGTATCCATTCATTAGCAGTTGTTTTTCAGCCCTTGAGATTGTCTAACAGCTACAGCAAGAAGTTGTCATGACTAAATCTAAGCAATTCCAATGTTAACATTCATTAATCAATTCTGTATTAAATATGCTGAATGAGACCACACACACTACATTTTAACCAATTAAACAATCATGCATATCTTAGACAAAGCTTATTCCATTAGAGGCATCTGTAAACTGATGCATATATAGTAATTGCTACTACTATAACAGGCCAAATTTTAAGAAATCAAAGCAAAATACTGTATCACTGTAGATAGTCAATTGGTAGTCTGCATCTTTGGCTCATACATCCATCATTTACCTCCCTACTTCAATTTGACAGAGGCAGATAAACTCAGGGGTTTTTAAAATCAAGTGCCTTAAAGTCAACATAAATGTTACTGGTTCTGTAATAAAAATATTACAATGCAGGATTACAGCACTGCTATCAAAGAATTACAAATAAAATGGGACTTCCTTCCTGAGGGACTTTCAACTAATACTTGAAGAGCATAAAAGCTCCTGAAGTGCTTCGCAAATATAAATTACTGATCTCAACTCTGCAGTACAGTATCACCATTTAACAGGAGGGACAGTGGAGGCACACCAGCCTAGTGACCAGCTTCATAGTTCAAGGTGACTCAATCTCCCGCTCCTCTCTAATTGCTCTATTAAACTGCTTCTAATTCCCATAAAATTTAGAAAAATGTGTTGCTTGGTAATTTTTTTTTATAGGTACAACATTTCCATCTAAGGAAATAATAACATACAACTTAGGTGTTTCCTCTCTCCCTAATACTTCTGGTTTATTATCTGAAATGCTATTGTTGAATTCTGATACAAGACAGATGTCATATTCCGGAGACTATTACTTCACTGCGGGGCCAAAACCAACAGACTACACCAAAGGAACGAGCTGAGGCCCTAGTCACAAAAACCTATACTGTTAGAGGCCCAGGAAACTCTGCAAGACCATTTGTGCGAAGACCCTTGTTTTCAGTTTTGTACTGGTATAAAAGTACACCTTCAAACCTACAGAAAACATAGAAATTTAAAATAAAATGGCCTCAGTTTTTACCTTGAAGTAGAGACACTAGGCAATTTTGCTTGAGTTTTCATCTAAACACTGTTTTAGTGCTCACAGGAGCTGAACCAATCAGATTAATCTATCCGAAAACACCATGTAGCAATAATATAAATAGCAACACTATTTTTCACAAATTAGTCCATGTGTAGGTTCAGGATAGAGAAAACTATCAAATAAATAAGTCCATACAGCTAAAAAAATTTAAAATCACTAAATTATGAAAACAACATTAACAATAACTGTTTAACAATGAACAGAAAGGAAAACATCACCAAGTTAAAACTGGTAACCAGTCTACATTGCTATATCATTTTTTTCTATTAACATAAATATAATCAGAAAACTGAAGATACTAACACTTTTTGCCATAAAAATGTTACCCTAGAATTTACTTGGTTCTAACTGCTAAGCTTTCTAAGAGATTTCTGCTGTTAGCCACACTCTGGGTCAGTTCACTGACTCACACCTTAGTCATTTGAAACTTGCTTTTAATACCATACATGTAACTGATGCTCATGTGTTTTTTTAACAGCGTGATTTGAGAGTGGTTTTGCTCTTTGCAAGTTTTTGCTTCCTTCAGTTAAATACTATTTTACACCATGCATAACTGTGCAGCTAACTTGCAGTAATGTTCCAGGAAATCTGAAGCGTTCATATGTCATCTGTCCCACGGGAGTGAAACAGCACTGCCAACTGACACTCACTGAATAAACTACGGAACATGATCTTATTTTTTTAATGTAATAGCTTCCTACATAAATGGAGAAATCAGGAATTCCCAAACAGTGTGGAAAATTTTGCAGTCCTCCGATAACCGAGTACTTAATACTGCTAAGTGGAAACATTCTGTTCTGAGCCCTGATTTTGCCAAGTGCGAAACACCCGTTTTGTAGCTGTCGTAAGAAATGGTTGACGTGGTTCACAACCTCATCAGAGGCCTACAGAGACGGAATACAGACCAGAAAAATTTTAAAATGGAGATGACCTAAGGGAAAAGTAAGTATGGTACAAACACTAAAATACAGTCTATTTTTTTTTTTTCCTCTGACAGCCACATACCATGCTGCAGTTCCATGCCTTCCAGCTTCTCCGGGTTTATCACAGACTTCATTATTGAAACTTCTTACAGCGATGTGAGAGCGCTTAAAACAATTTGACAGCGCTATATTTTATGGACGTCATCTGCATAAAGGAGTTAAAACCTGGCGGTCTTCCGCTGTTGGGCAAAGAAGCTAGACATCCATTACTAAAAACATCACCTTTCCTGTATCAAATTTTTTAGGCAACTTGAAGACCAACTACGTTTTGTACTGCTCTGAGGTTGTTCCTACTACAATTCCTGGAGTGAAGTGCAGTTGCAGAAGCCTCTGGCTTCACCACACAGAGCTGTACGTCCTTCAACCCTCTGCTCTAATTTCAAAACACAGATAATGCCACCCAAACCCTTGACTAAGGAAAAGACAGAGTAGTAGCAGCACGGCTGTTTTGATGCTCTGATTCCACAAACTAGGTGAAGTAATAAAATGAGCCTTAGTGAAGGAAACAGAGTATCCAACTGAATCATTCTTCACAGCTTGTTCCTACATTCAGTAGTTTTGAGAAAAGATTTCTTGTAGTTTGTACCACTGTTCAAACGATGACTGTCCCCTACCCGCCGGACTCCCGAGATCAAATATTCACAATCCTCAGAGATGCATGTGCGGTGCTATTTGCAGTCTTCCAATATGGCTCCTTAATAGAAATGCAAAGACCTGTGACACAGCAGCATTTAATAAGTCATTTGCTACTAGATGAAACGTTGTCACTGAGTAATGCAATTGTCCCCCATGTCCTGAGCATAACGGTCCGACATTATAGTCCTTAATTCATCAATATCCTTTCGTAACTGACAAACGTCCAAGAGCTTCTTCGAAAGGGTTTCTGTGCTGTGGTAATTTTCATTCTCTTCAGACGAACAGTTCAGAGCTACAAAAAAACAACGCTCAAGGTTAAAGCTCTAGCAGCTGCACTTTGTGAATCCTTCAACTAGTCAGTCCCCCTTGAAATAAGGGGCAGGTCACTTTAACTTAATTACATCAAGACAAATCATGCTTTAGTATGATGAAAAGCCAAGAAAATGTGGTACCTTGTGAACTTAAAGTCAACTCAGAGTCCATCAGCACTTCTCTGAAAGACATGCTTTGCGGTTTGCACCAAGATCTAGACTTGCTAAAGTCTGATGGATCTCAACAGCAGTGAAATAACTGGGTAGAACAACCATTTCCTAGAGATTTTGGAGGTTTCCATAGCCACTCAGAAAAGAGGGATAGGAGGGCTTGGGAAAGGAGGCCATGTAAGACAATAAGGTAGTACTACAGATATGCTGCACTATTCATCCTGCTGGCTGATGATGGTCTCACGGACTTTGAGATCGGCACATACTGCACTCCCCAGTACTTCAGGGGGTTATGATGTAAATGAGTATGTGGCACGTAGCAGCTCTTGCTGCACAGGACACTATACTTTTACCTTTCTGCCTTGCTGATAGTCCAGTTCAACAATCAGTCTATCTGATTAATTCTAATTAACACTCAGAAAACAATAGAATATGATACATTCAAGTCAAAGCAATGTAATTCTTTATTAAGCCTGTTAAAAGAAAAGACCTAACACAAACTCACTACGCTGACTGGCTTTAGGGCGTGCTTCTCATCTCCTGGTTAAGATTAGCAGCTTAGCGAGTGCCGAAGACTAGATGTGCCCTCAACAGTACTGGAGATGGAGTTGCTGGGCATTAAGCTTATCTGATACATGCAGACACCCTCACCTCCCACCCTCAAACCAGACATACGCATGTTCAAACAACAGATGTATATTCCTCCCACTTGACCCCAAGGGCTTTAAAACAAAACCAGGTGATTTAGCCATACCAGGCCTGTGATGTAGCCACACCAGGCCTGCTTATGCCTCACCTCCCTCATTATAAAACGAGTTTATAGAGCAGAAGACGTTCGACAGAAAAGCATCCATTAACCCTCATGGCGACTGCAATGTGTCTCAGGAGGGACGAACATCTGGCTAAACACCTTTCTCTTCTAGTGGGGTGAATGTATGTATAGACTGGGTCCGTATGAAGACCCAGCTACCGTCTCTCCTGACTTGGCAAAGACCTGTATAGTCATAGGCATTTAGCAGCACAGGTGCACTAAAAGCCCAGCTTTTCCAGAGAGCTCCAGGAGTACGCATCACACAGAACTGCTCCAGTTGCATAGCAAGGAAGACACTGGACTGCCCAGCTGGCAGTCTGAGCACCACTTAGCTAAACTGTTACTCCTCTTTGTCAAAACACTACTAAGCATTGGAATGACAACATCACTTACATCTGATTCCCAGCAGTAAGGAAAGGTTAGGCTCCTTGCCCTGAGCTCTCTGGGTAAGAATACTGCACAGTGCTTTCAAGTCAAACAAGCAATGGGACATTTCCTTGAACAACTGGTCTGCTATAGGCATCTTCTCAGATACTGGTTGCCTGGACTGCTCCACCTGCCGCATCTGCTCCTTTAGGGAGGCATTCTCTTCCATCAGTCTTTGGTTCTTTGTGAAAAGTAAATGGGAAAAAGGGGAAAGTTAGTCTGCAGCATGCATTGTAGCAGAAAGTTTTATATCAGAGTAAAGATGAAATATGTTTCAATCTGTTTCAAACCACAAACAATATAATTAAAAATAATTAATTTCCATACATGTAATCAGTATTTCTGTACCCCTCTAAAGAACGGCAGATAGACAGCTCTTACGTGGCTGTCTATTTCATGTTACCATTGCTCAGCAGCCTTCACCCTTGAAATTCTCACTTCCTGAGGTAGGGATAGTATCTATTATATGTCTGCAGGTCAGACAGCACAGTCAAGTATGTAATTAAGCTCATACAGCCCTACCCTGAAATCTTATAATCATTCCATAAGATTCTTCCCAACTGGTGTGGTCAGGGGTTGGGGTTTTGGAGTTTTTACTTACTTCAGAGAGAGTTTTATTTAACTGCTCTATATTCCTTTCTTTTTCTTCAAGTTCATTTGTCATCTTCTGAACTATCAGCTTTTCTTGCAAAAGCTTCTCTTGCATAGACTAAATCGAATGAAAGCACAGGTAGGGATTTAAAATTTTCACACTTTATATTAGTACTGACAAAAAAAATGCATCCTCAGTAAATTTCTAAGTTTCAGTTATTTATTGCTTTTGTATTCATTCTTTGTTTTTTATTTTCTACTGTGTTGACCTTGTAATATTCAACTGGACCCCAACAGCTCTATGTATACTAACACAGCCATTCCAAATATCAGTGAAATCCTTTAAATAAGCAGTATCTGTTTAGAAACAAAAGGACAATATGTATGCAAAACATTACTCCAATGCAGAATGCATGAAGTCTAAAATAGCCATGCAATATTGTTTATTCTAAACAAATAATTTCGTTTGAAATAAGAAGCAGATTAATGACAGCTAAGCTTCATTTGTGAAATTCCAAGCTGTAACTGAAGAATTGTTTGGTCTCTAGTTTCCACAGAGACTACGGCAGGGCTTCCTACAACCTTTCACAACACAGAATTCACCTTACCTTCTATACAGCTGAGAAGAAAGCCTTTGACAGTTGATACAGAGCAGCAAGCACTTTAAAACCATTCACATATAAGATAAATCAGAACCGTATATACAACTCTACCGTGTTGAAAAAACAACTGCAGGCAACAATTTGTTTGTAGTTTATAATGTCATTTTTAACAGATATAATAATTACGATTTTCAGTAATGAAAACAGCAGTAAGTTTCTAGGGTGCTGTTAGACCTAAGTATTGGAGCTTTCCATGACTGACTGCCAGATCAGTCACAAGCAGCAACAAATGAACAACCGCCACAATATGGAAACAGCTTCTGTGAGCTCCCCAGTTTTCACCTACAGAGTTGAAACTGAGAAGTCATGAGGTATTTCCAAAGTGGATTTTTTGGGGGTGAATTCATCATGACCACAGGTGTCTGCTGGTAAAAGCACTCATATTTATTCCATTAGTTGGCTTTTAGATCTGTAGACATGTCTTTCAAGGTCATCTGGCAAAATTCAGAAAGAGGAATATTCCAACTATCCTATCTGAATATTATTAAGAATTAATAGGGATTATATAAACTCCTGATGCTTTAAAATAGAGAGATCTTTTCAGCTTTCATGAAGAAAAAAATCCTCTTTTGTCGTTAATGGTATTACTCACAAATCCAATGCTGTGCTAACACACTGCATATAAAGCATACTCCTCACCCCTAGCTCAGCACGTTAATATGTAAAACCTGTTGTCCAATTTCAATTATAAGATGCAAATCCAATCCCATCATGCTCAAAATACAGCTGGAGCACTGGTGACAATGGTGCATGCCTTGGCACAGTTTTGACTGCAACCTTCCATAGAGTGGAACTGGAGACCACAACGAGGGGAGAAGTTGCATTTCACAAACCAATGGCACTCAATTTATGGAATGTCCCAGAAGAATGTTTTTTCTTGAATCTCTGTGGGAACAATCCTAATGATTCCTCTTCCAAAGTAGAGAACTCTCTCACAGGGAATTCTATGTGGTAGCTTAAAAAAAAAAATGCTATAGAGAGATCAATGTCAGTCCCCAGTAAAAAATTTGTTTAAATTGCTGTATTATGACTCTGCAACCTTATTCAAAGACAGAAAAAAACCCAAACTCTCCACTTGACAGAACCATAGAAAATCACGTCAAGCTATGTAGGTTATGGGGTCCTAGGAAAACAATTTAGCTTTGGAAAAGAAGCCAAATTTACTCTTGTGTGAGTTGCTCCTAATACATATGAAGAATGGAACTTTCAGGTTACCAGTACTGGGGACTGTAGCACATAGGAGACTATGTATATATACAGGCCTGCCCTTTATCATGTTATGTGGCCTACTGAGTGGACAAGAAACCATTTAATTGACTTGCCAGCTATAAGAATTATTAGTGCTGACGAGAAGGCAGGGAGTAACAAGAGGAAAGGCAGGGCTGACACTGAGGGGAGGTTTTAATGGCCTGGCTACTCACAGGAGGTGTGCAGCCCTGACAAAATTTCCCAAGGCATTCTGCTCAATGCTGCACAAGCCACGAGAAGAGCCAGTACTTTGTCAGACTCTTTGCAAAACTGGAGAACAACGGTGCTAAAATTTACACACTTGATATGAGCTAAAAAAACGTCCGCACTTTATTTTCATGTAAGTAATAAGAATCAGCAGGCAGCACCCAGGCACGACTACTTGTTTTCAAAACCGTCTTCACACACTTGACCAGTTTCTCAGTTCACCCCTGCCGTGCCCCTCAAAAGGAAGTGCTGAAGCAATGTGCATCCTAAAGATAAGCTGTGCAAGAAAGCACAGTTTGACACTCCAGTGGGAGGAAGGGGAAGAAGAAAGAGAGCTCTGTCCCACGTCAAAGGAAACACCCTGAGCTGGGAGAGGGCAGGAAATAGCTCTGCTTCAGGCATTTCCTCTGTTGCGCTTGCAGATGATCAGAACTTGCAGTGCTGTTGAACCATCTTCTTTAGGTTTTTGGTTTGGGTTTTTTTTGTTTTTTGTTTGTTTGTTTTGTTTTGGGGTGGGTTTTGGGTTTTTTTTCTTTTTAAAAAAAAAAACACCACTGTTTACTGAGAAAAATCGCCATATTGAGTCAGACTGAAGGTCCCTCTAAATCTGTCTGCAGCCAAACAGAAGATGCTTAGGGAGGAGGAGAACAGGGCAGTACAGTAATTGCAGGTGCCCAAAACACCCTCCCAGCTTCCAAGTATCTTCAAATTTTTAATCGTCTTTGATGCACTTCCCTTTCATGAGCAAGTTCAGGGACACCCAGAGCCCAGTTATGATACGTGCATTAGAACCACCACTTATACTTTTCATGTTTCTGTCAGAGCCAGACATTATACGTTTGTGCAGCCTTCCTGAGGGTGGGTAGGTGGTGGGGAAGACTGGTTCAGAAATATTACCTTCCTCTGTGTATTTTCAGAACTACATTGGCTACTAAGTTTACATGACTGTACAAATTACTCCAAAAACGACTTCTAGAATATTCCAAATAATATGTTCAGCTCATGAGTTGCACTGTTTAATGGTAACTAATAGAAATAAACACTAATTCCCATTTCTAGAAGATACACCTAACAGCTATCATTCTATGCTAACCTAATCTTAATGCTGAGAAAAAGCACATGTGCTTACCAGCTTGGTTGAGCCCACAGTGTTATGACTTCCCAGTGCTCACAGTGCTATCTGGCCTCTGTATTTCATCCTTACTTCTTCCATGTGCTTTCCTACGTTACAATTTGGCGGCACTACTCCCAGTCCGGCAGAGTTTGGGTTTATTGTGACTGACAGGACTGAGAGATGTACTTTGGGTAACAAAGGCATTGTACACTCTTACATCTACTGTCTTTTTGGTAACAAAAATGCTAATTTTTTGATATCTAAATTAATGATGTAGATACAGATTTTTTTTTTAAATGTCACTCTCATCTATGATTTTTCTCTTTCTGAAGATATACTATATATGCAGCATGACATCTTGTCAAGACCAACCAGAATGTTAATCTCTCACACTCAGGAGAACAAATCAACCAAACAAAACCATACATGAAAGATCAAAATCATTGCACTACAACTATGAGCAAATAGAAACTAGTACAGCTTCATACACTGCTCTCTGAAACTGGATTTCTTTGTCTTCAGCTTGCAAGTTAAAAAACAATGAACTGAAATACATTCCCAAGAATAAGTTCACAATGTGGCAGAAGGCAGGGAATAAAATGAGATCTGAGCTAAAGATAAATTGTATCTCTGTGATAAGGGATTTCAGTTTATAATGAACTAATTTTCAATGCTTCCTAGGGAAAAAATGTGGAAGGCAAGGGAGATCAACAATACAAAGAAGCTGCTGTAGTCTACAAGTAATTTGAGGACTGACACCACTTTCAAATTTTATTTTCTGTCCTTATATGAAATAACTCAAAAGAGGAAATGTAAGAGAAAATCCTGAAGAACAGAACACTACTCTGTTCACAGACTGTCACAACTACTCAGCATTTCCTGGTCTCAGCTCCCTAAAGTCATTTCAGACTAAACACACAAAACAGCCATCCGTATAAACGTGCACAAAGATTACTAGTCTTAAGATAAAGATGACGGAAAGAAAAAGAGCAGAAAGTTTAGGAAATATGAGAAGATTTAGGTTGGTGATAATACATTTAGGCAAATTGTGCATATTTCTTATAAGCAGAACATATACACAGTAAATACTCTTAACTAAGCTATGAAGAGAGACAGAGAACCTCAGAATGGTTATGGCGTTCAATGTGAACTTTTTTTTTTAAATTCCGATATATCGAAAACTACATTTGCCTGCATCACAATTTTTGCATAACAGGCTGCTCCACGAAAACATCTCAATATGATGAATTTTGTCTTCTTTAAACCTTCAGAAGCTTAAACAATTGATTTTGCTTTTCAATTAATAGCCTTATGTTATGTTGCAACTTAAATTCCCCTACTGCTTCTCTACAGATGTATTTAATACACTGTAATTTAATTAAGCAAAAATACGGTTGTTGACATGAACCAGGCCTGCTATTTACCTGCATGGTAAAGAAAGGAAGCAATTTAATGGTGGAAGACAACTTACTTTCAACAGCTACAAATAAGCAAACTTGGCTCCAGTGTGCAAAGTGGAAATAAGAAAGCAGTTTCTCTTAGCAAGCGTACGCAAGCAGTTTTGTGTCTCTTTGTTCTTTGGATTCTAGCTCCATAGAGTGCTCCCTTCCACTTCGGAAAGAGCAGGCATTCAGCTGATTGTTTACTACCATTTTGTTGTTCTTCCAAACCTAACGTACACACCGCCAAAGCAGAAGCACCTTCTTCATTCTCAAGGGACAACCCTGTAACATCAGTCTTTCTGGAGGGCAAGGAAGCAAAAATGTGGAGACAAATGCCAATCTAGAAGAATGCAGAAACTAGAATTTATTGACTTTGGCTTCAGTATTTGCTGAAAACAGATGTTTGGGTTTTTTAAATTATCAGCTTTTTCTAGAGCAAGTCATACCTTCTTCCCTGTAACCTGTATAATGTTTCCTTTCCTCCACAACAAACACTGGTCACTAAGTAACTTCCAAGTCTCAGGAGCCTGGTGTGTTAATCTGATCCACAGAGCTGCAACTGACTCCTAGCTGACAACTTACACTGTCTTGAAAAATCCTTGGCTCCAAGCTAGGTGCCCAAGATCCACCAAGAGAGTTAAGATATCTAAGTGAGTGACGTGTCAGAACCAGTTGAACAGGCACCTGCTTAAACAGTGTGAAACATGAAGTGGTATGGTTTAGAAAGGCACCTGTCTCTACAAAGGATCTCAGCAGTGAAGCTGCTAATCAACATCACTTTTTGTAATTTGGATGACCATCTCAACCCCAAAGTTGGATGGGAGGTTTCACTGTTACTTACAGAGGCAGTCCTCATTCTTGAAACAGGCAGCTCTGATATGGCATCCACTAGACCAGCAGAATAAGGATGCCACATACCAACGGTTTTTCACATTGTGATGAGTATCAGCAAAGTGCTAAACCATACAAACATCAATAACAAATGCATTATGAGCCTGCAAGAGAACATGGGTCAACTATAGGCCATTAGATTAACTTCTTGGCATTTCTACCTTTGCCTTCTATTTGGGAAGATAAAAGGACAAATTCAACATTAGTAATATGGTATTTATGAACTGAAAATGCAGAGTAAACAACAGAATATACACACTTCCTTACCTGCATGTCTAAAATCAGTCCAGCTATCTGATTTTGTTGATTGTCTATGACCTAGAATATAAAATTGAGTTAATTTAAAGGCCTGAATCTCTTCAGATCCTTTTTTAAAAATCAGCTTACAGGTGTGCAGCCAAATTTTAAATGGAATCTTTGAAAATGTAAGTGATCAGACAGAGAGTTTAACTCTGGTAGAACAGGAAATTCATGCAAAATAAATGTACTGAACAGAAACAGACAGGTATTGAAAAGAAATCTGAATTAACAACAAATGTGTAATTCTTTAGTGAGATTTTATTTCTAAAGTAAACAAATAAAGAAATTCAGGGCTCAAGGTTAAAGATGCCACCAAAAGATCATTTGACTAACCTTACTGGCTTTCTCATTCTTTTCTTTCAGACTTTCATTCTCGCTTTGAAGTTGTTTTGTGTCCAACATGGGAAGGCGAATACCATCTTCCAGGCATTTTTCTACTTTCTGTTGTAAACTGCCATTCAAAATGAAAGAAAAATTAAGTGTGCCGACAGAAACCAGAAGGCCTGTGTGTTCTAGTGAAAAATTAGAAAGTTGCACCATCTTCCAACCAGAACCGTAAAACGGTACCTAGCAGAATTCAGCCTTATGAACGAGCAAACCAACAGTGGATGAATGATGCAAAAAACTACCAAAGCAACCGTGGCACTGACAAGAACAGATTAATGCAGAATAGGCTTTACGGGCCAGATTCTGTGCTGCATCTCCCAAAAGGCACAGCTCCAGCACTACAGCATGAGGAGAGAGGGCAGAGAGGAGCAAAGAAAAGGTTTGTGGTGTTCACAGCTGCTCTGTGCTACTGCGGCAGGCAAAGCCAGCACCAGCATAGATCAGAACAGTCTTTGGACCTCTCAAAGTTACAGGAGCTTTAAAACCAGAGTCTCTCACTGGGCCCGCATACACCTCAAAGTGGAGTCCAGAATCGGAGGTTGCACCGAGTACTGGTGGCCTACCCTTCATGCCCTTTATGACTTCTAAGGAAGAGCATAAAGCTACTCCTGCCACATGCTCCCACATGACCTTCAGACCCTCTGTAGCTCAGCTCAAGCTCCTAGGTGTAGCTAGGTCCTTTGCTTGCTCACCTTCTCTCAGAAAGGAAATACACTCTATTAGTGTTAATCTTGCTGTTTAATTTAGAAACCAGCGGCCACCTCAACTATTTGTAGGCTTTCAGAAAAGGTGCAATGATCCCCCTCTAGATTATGAGGGCACGAAGAAAAAAGCCCTTTCATTGGTAAGATGGAAACAATGCATCAACAATTTGGCTGGCAAGGTGTCACAATCAGCTTGCCTTTCATCATGGAAACACTTTCAGACTCCTCTGGCATGCACCTTTACCCACTGGAGGGACAGTGAACTGTAGTAACATCCACATAAATTATTAAAAGTGATTCCTGCCCCCCGTTTCCCCTCTTCCCTCTTTTTTAAAAAGAAGTGTTTAAGTAGCTCTCCTGATCTAAAACGTACCAGAACAACAATGTCTCCATGTCTCATCTGGAATCTTCTCGTGTGTATCTCTCCCATTTGTTTCTTAATACTTATTCAAGTTCAATCACAGCAGATTAGCTACAGCTGAATTTCCCTGTAAATTACCCCACTGCCAGTGAAAAGGTAAGAAACAGCTACAATTTATTTAAATCTTTGACCCTTCCCTGATATACCCATCAGCCAATATCCAGGGAGCTTTTCCACAGCTTGTGACAGGATTAGTTATCAAATAGGAGTGCTGACAGCTTCTACACAATGCCCTTTTGCTCCACACATTTATTCTATCCTCTTTCTGGCAACAGCCTGTGATGCCATTGCAGCGGTGTTCCACATCTTTAAAGAAAGATCATGAAGAGCATCCTCGGCAGACTCTTCTCTGTGGTGTTACTTGCAACTCGACACAAATAAAAATCTTGTTGGATTTTCCATTACATTACACTGTCATTCTGCACAGCAATGTATTTATGCCATGAAAAATCATTAGCATTCTAATAGATTAAGAGTGCAAATAACATTAAGTCTTGACATCAGGTGGGAAAATACACCCGTTTCAGGACACAGCCCAAACAGCTGTTCATACCTCTGTACTGTTGTGACCAGCTCTTTTTCTTTTTTCTTCTGACACACCAGTTGCAGTTCTCTCTCTCTGCACTGCGATCGGGCCTCTCCGAGCTTCTTTTCTAATTCTGTCATAGTTTCTTGAAGTTGCTTGTTCTTCTCTTCTAGAATTTGCAGCTAACAGATTTCATTAGTCAGACACAATGCCACATTAGCAGAATGCCTTGTGGCAGGCCACAGCCTTGCAGTTACCTTCTGTAAAACTGCCCATTTCACTTATCCGAGTATGAGAAGCCCTAATAGCTACAGTGCTTTCTAAAACATTGAAATACTTCTCTTCCTAAACAGACTGGGGAAAAAAAATATATGTTGAAACAGTAAAAAAACTGACAACAGATTAGGGAGCTTACTTGCATTTTAAAAATGTAAAACAAACTCCCTTTACCTTACCTGTTTAGTCTGACCTTCTATATCATCCAGCGTTGGTAGGTCAGCCAGATATTTTTCTAAGGTTTCAATTCGTCTTTGTTTTTCTTTGTTTTGCTCAGACTCTTTCTGGCATTTCTTTTTCAGGCTATTAATATATCGGTCTCTAGTTTTAAGCTAGAAGAAAGTAAGAGTACATGTTTTATGATTACAGTGAAAAATAAACCTGCTTTGGAAGCAGAGATTGGTCACTCTTCCAAAACTTGTACTCTCAGCTGCATGAAAGGGTTGGTTACTACAGAAAACAAAACCAAAGAATGATAAATCCCAGCAGCTCCAAATCATAGACTCACACGTGACCTCAAACCACAGTTGCTTCACCTCTGCCCAGAACTCTCCGCATGCCTTGCGAACTGAAAACATGAACAGTTCAACAATTAAAATATTCTTAGTTTTTTCACCAATGGAGATGTTCATATGCAACAAATGATCAGGAAGTATTTTAGTCTATCCTCTTCCTCTGGGCTAGGAAAACAACTGAAAACACAGGGACCAAGAACTTAACCCAACAAGAACTGGAGGCAGCAACCTGACTTTCATGTAGTCTGACAACTACAGCAGAGGACATCAGAACAGAATAGTGTCTTTCTTAAACACCTTTTCTACAGGCATCTTAATTGTCCATTAGCCTGCAAAAGGTTTTTATATATTGTGTTATCTTTGCTTGCATTCCTGGTACTTATTTTGCTTTATTACCTAGGTCAAAAAAGCGTGAAGGAAGGCAGGAAAAGGAGTATTTTCCAGTCATAGTCCAATTTAATGAAAAAGAGTATCTCTATTGCTTGAACTAAGGTGTAGTAATTCACAGATAACAAATACTTGTCACTAGAGTAAATGCTAAATGTACCTTTATTTTGGTGCCACATACATCCTTTTCACTAAGAAATAAATGTGTGACACTGTCAGTGTCAGCTCAGTAACAGAGCCTGCTGAAAAGTTTAAGTCAATAATATCTGGAAAGCTTTTCCAGAGATAGTCTTCTATATGGGCCACAAAACTGAGGACACCGAAAAGGCCAGAAATCTTTGTGTCTTTTATTTTATCAAGACCTCAAAACTGAACAAAGCTTTCAGGCTGCTTTAAAATCTTTCTGATTAGACAAACCCCAAGTAAACCACACATTCACTAAGGCAAAGTTACAACTCAGCCAGGATCTTTTGCCACAATATGTGCTTCAGAACCACATATGCCCCCCTACACCCCTTAGGTGTGATATAAATATCCACATGTAAGACAACATTGCACATTAAGAACTGCCAGAACTCTGACTGAATCCCTTCCCTCTGTTTCTCACGTACTACTAAGGATGATGAGTTGACCAGTCAGAATACTCCAGTACTTGTACAACAAAGATTACATGGTTTCCAAATCTTTTTATCCTGTACATATATCACAGGGAATTTCCTTTCCTGCAACCTCTCTCCTTCTAATAGGTACCGTGTTTGCCTTTGGATTCCTCCCGCCCGCTCTAAATCCCATCCCCAGCATCAATCCCAGGGACTCTTTTCACCTTCTGTCACCTGAGATGAAAAAAGTGTTTGGGTTGTTTTTTTTTTTCCCATTTACTTGCTGACTCTGCTGAGGGGAAAACAAGCTTTAGATTGCTTTTTTTAATTTCCTCCTTCATACACACACTGCTACTGACTTTGTTGGGGCAGGAAAAAATAGGAAAGTTCTCACCTCTTGGCAATTAAATATTAAAAGCAAAGCCACAGATATCATAGGGGAGAACACTACTACAGGCTATCACCAGTACCTTTCAGAAGTCCTTCACAACTACCTATAGGAGAGGGAGATGGAACAGACACCAGGGTATGGGTGTATGAACTGAAGGATTTCCAGCCCACCAGTCCAACTTCCAGATGAAACGCCTCAGAACGAAAGTGAGGGCTGCAAAATCTGCAGATGCCAAGAGGCACACTCATGCCTGGCATAAGGAAAAGGAAGAACCTAGGCATTCATGACATGGACACCAGTGGAGAGTACTGCAGTATCTACCTTCACAGGCTGCCTCAACTAGGAAGCTACGAGGAGCTACCACGACCCCCAGCCAGCCACATCAGAGAAGCTTCTTCGGGCCTCTGAAATTTCAGTGCCAATTAAAGAGCTCTCAATCACCTCAGTCCTACACTGACTACACATGGAGCCTAGGGAAAAAACGTTTCTCTTCAGGCAGGAGAATTACTCAAAGGGTGGTAGACATACCTCCTTGCTCGGTATGGCTGCATGGGGCCAAGACAGGTATGATACCAGCAGTGAACAAATAGCACCTCTGATCTCTGCTGGCCCTGCAGTTTCTCAAAAGGAAAGCATCAAGTATATCCACCCTAATGTTAGAAGGGACACAATGCTTCAGACCAAGAGGCCTTCTAGCCCAACATCTCATCTCCAACAGTAGCCATAAGCAGATGTCTATGGTAGTGAAAGAACAAGGAAAGCACATTTTTCCAGCTTCCAGCTGCTTTCACCTTAGGGGCTCTCCTGAGGCAGTCATTATTTCTGTGCATTTAGAACAAGAGAGCACTTCCATTAACTCACCCATTTTTCCCTTGAGACCACCCATACTCTTAGCATCCACAACAGCCTTCAGAGAGACAATCTACAGGTTTGCTATAGAGAACTGGCATGAGGGATCGGCTCCTTTTGCTGATCATATACTTGGCTCCTAGAGCTTCGCTAGATGTTCCCTTGCTCCTGCAACGGGAGCTGCAGTGAGGAGCTGACTGCCCTCCGTCCCTTCCAGGCTGCTTGTGGCTCTGCACACTGCCATCATGCTCCCTTCAATCATTTCTTTTCCAGTGTGAAGTTCTAGTCATTCCTCTTGTGATGTTCTGATGGGTATGTGCTTTGTTACCCTTCTCTGAACCTTTTCCAGTTCTAATACATCCTGGGTTTGTGAGGAGGGAGACTTTCCTAGACTTCTAATGACTGACAAAAGATGGTCAAGGAAACAGGAGCGTTCCACGTTTTCTTTCCTCCCACGTACACTGAATGGTCACAGCTTGTCCCGTATTGTCAAAAACATACCATCTGTACACTGTATTTAAATGTTGTACGTCAAAAACTCTAATGCAGGAAAAGATAATATTATTTGCAAAAGGGGGGCAGACAGAGAAGTAGAAATGCATGCCAGCAGACTTAACCTAAACTTCTACGCATACACTTTAGCATACACTTACAAGCAAAGCTCACCTGAATGTTAACAGCATTTTTTCTCCACTCCCTGACTAAATCCAGCTTTGGGCTGAAAAAACTTACCCTGTCTGAAAAGGCAGGCGTTCACTTGGAAATAACCCTAGCACAGCTATTGGCAACAATCCCTCTGATCAGTACAGAAGTTGGTTTTTTGTCCCCTAACATCAGTCACTGACCTGGGACACTAAGCCTTTGGGCTCTGGGATGATCTTCCTATAAGCGCAGCAGAGGAACTCCAGAGACAGCTGTCCCCAGGCTCAGCAACCAGCCCACTGCTCGGGTTCCCAGCCTGCCTCATCCCTGCAGGAACACAGCACAGCTTCTTCCTCCCTCCACAGTCTTCCCTCAAACATAAGGGCACTAATTTTATGACAGAAACACATCTTCTCCCTCCCTGCCCTTTCTCTCCTTGAGAGCCTTTTGTTCGGTGCACAGAATGGATGGGTGTTAAGGGGCGAATGTGAACTGTGCAGCGACTCAGGCTCCTAGCTACACACCACCCCGCCGACACAAGCACTGCTGCACAGGTTGTCACCACTGCCACCACCTACAGTAGCAATTCCTGCACAGTGAGGAACACAAGCAGTAAAAGCTGACACAGGAGGAAGCAGCAGCATCCAATTTCTGCCCTTCCTGAATGTTACCCTCAGTGAAAAGCATACTGCAGGGTTCATAGGAAATGATAAGGCAGAATTTGAGATGAATTATGCGATCTTCTTTGTCTTCCTACCTGCCACTTCACTGTATCATACTGCTCCTACCCCTCGAACCTGCTTTAGTATAAATCTAAGCCCAGTATTAAGGCCCAGTGATTAAAGAAGAGAAGGTAACAGTGGCAATGTATCCCTAAACATTAATTAGGAATGACTCGGCCAATGGCACGTTCCTGGTCCAGTAAAGGAAGGCTGTCAGGACTTTCAAAACTACCCCTGGGTATTGCTTCAGCTTCCAAAGAAACCCCTTGTCAATACAGTTCCAAGAACACAGCTATCTAAGCCCCTTCCTTGTCTCAGACTAAAGTCTATTCTGCACGTCCTAGCAAGACTACAAGAGAATCACTCCTGCTGAGTGGGCGCACCCAGGTTGGTAAGTGCATCTCAAAGCACGAGGCATGCACTTACAGGCCATGCTAAAAACAGGAATTTAATTTTCACACTCTTGCTATGTTTTTAAATGCTACTTTGTTTACTGTAATAAACACTTCAAGCTATATAAATTCTTAGGGTAGCTTTTCTTCAAAGCAAGTTTAACTGATACCTGGTTAAAACTGTCATGATTGCCATTTCATCTAGTATCGCTTTTTAGGATGTATTCACTACTAGTTGAGATTTATCCATTGCTGACACCTACAATCACTATCAATTTTTCTATCACAGATAGCTTAGCTACCTTTTGAAAATAGCTCAGCAACCCACATACTAACTTGCTTTTTAGCAAACAAAACATATACTGCTATGACAATGTCAAAAGGAAAGACACTTACTTTCTCCTCCATCTTCTTTTTCTCCTCACTAGATTTGTTTGAAATTTGTTTTATAAATTCACTGAGTTGTAATTCCTTATTCTCAGCTGCTGCAATCTTTCGCTCAAGCTCCTCAAGGTGGGATGTTGATCTTTCTGAAATGTGAGGTTGAAGTGATGTGCTCTCATACTGTGGCTGCTTACAAAAAGAAATAAAATAATCAAACAAATGAATGTACATATACCACGGTATACTTCAGCAGCAGAGCAATAAACAAGTCCTGCATTTTTTTCCACTGTCAGGAAGGGTGGGGTTTGATTGTTCAAACATTAAAATACAAGGTAACAGCATGTATTTCAGGAATCTGGAGCAAAAAAATAAAGACGCTGGACATCTTGACATTCACAACACATGGAAATGAACATTGTGGGGCCAATTTCCCCTCAGATTTATGGAAGAGGTGCGACTTTTCTTCCAAAAGAAAAGCCTGAAAAACCAAACAAAAAGCGTTGTCAAACAAATCACTGCCACTGCATTATCATGCCATTCCCTAAGAAGAAAAACACTCTACAAAATGACTATGAATATATTAAACTAAGAGATGCTCTAATTTCAAGATCCTTCCAAAGCAGAACATTAGTACTAGTCAAACCTTTGAGCTATCCCACCTGCGGTGCAGAAGGATGCAGGGACAAGCCTGTGAATAGAGCTACAATCAGAAGGCAGGCCTTCTACTTTCTCTCCTGTCTACCAAAACCCTCCTCCATTTCCATTTCATACAGTTCAATATTACTTTTCTACCTCCACTGCCCACAGAAAAGACAAGCACAAAATGGAAATCAGCTGCATGTGGGATGAAAAAGCAGATGCATCCCACTAGGCTTTCAGTTTCAAGATTCTTTTAATAACATAAATTGGTGTCTTTAAAGAAATTATAGAGAGACTATTTTTAACTAGTAACATTCCTTCAGCAAAGCATTAAAAGAGATTAAAACCTCCATTAAAGGAGATTTGCATTTGTAAGTTAATCTTATAGAAGGCACACAAATGAAGCAGAAATCCTAATACATCATAAACTTAACTCTTTAAATTAAGAAAGATGAATCCATCTGTTGCTTTATTTGAAGTGTATTACGGTACACTAAAATATGTACACTAGAATTTCAGTTTCTGCAGTCTTTTTTATTTCCTTTTTTTCTTTTCCAAAATCTTAATCACAACAGAATTTTCAAGTATTTTATAGAAGAGCTTCTGGAAGCACCAAAAGCCACACTCCTAGATGTCTGAAAAAGTTTCTAAATACCTAACTTCACACCGAGGCTCCACTTGAATTTCTCTCCTGTCTCACACAAACCAGATTCTTTCACCTGATGCATAGCTGTGTTACCCCAAGGGCATAATTAACGTCATGCTGCAGTACACTAGCTGAGATCCTGGTGCAGTGTTTGTGACAGAAAAAGATAAGCTAATAAAAGGGGGACAGAAAAGCTATTTCTCTGCATATCTGCCTTTAACATTCTCTTTCTGCACTGCCTTTTAGATACGCCAAGGTCTGGAGGTGGAATTTCTGTGCTACGACGAGGTAGCAGCCGCAGTTCTCAAACTGATCCACATTTCACGGTTAGCCTATGCTACCTCATCCTTACACTTTCTGATATTTGCACTAGTTAGAGGAAAAATTAGGACAGGTATGCCCAAAATACCACTACACATTCCCTTTCAGACTAGGTGTTCCCTAGGAGTACTAATCCATATCTTTTTCAGGTGTCTTGTGCAAAGATATTCCACCAGTCAGTTTGCCTTCTCACATCTCTTCCTTCTATTCTATTGATACAACCTAACCACTCCTTTGGGCATTACCTCCTTCTCCTCTTTAGAAAACCTTCCATCAGCTGTTTTCAGAGATGCTCTTTGCAAACTACTTTATCTCTAATATCTCCCTGTATAACTGCACTACATACACACTGTTAAGCCCTTGTTCTTACAGTGTCACAATCCCTCAATTTACCCCATTTTTATCAGATTTCAAACATGTACAAAATGTTAACGTAACTTAGATTTGTGCAAATGTAAGGTAAACTGTAACACAGGGTACTCTCCTCTATGCAATTTACAGTTATACAATTACACAACCATCAATAATCACAAAACCTCTACATTTTGGACTGCAGTAAATTGTGAACGTGCTTTCAGGTGTCAGCTACTGAGCAATGGAAAGCTTTGCTAAAAGAAAAATACCCACCCTACCTGCAAATTAGCCATGTAAGGTTCTTCGCAGTTAACAAGATGGCTCAATCTTGCATGTTGAGCTCTTAATTCATTCTCCCTTATCTTCTGATGTAAATTGTTAATTTGCTGTTTTTGCCTGTAATACACAAATTTTATTTGAAGAGAAAAAGAATGGAACAGAGATTAAAAAAAATCATAGATCTTAAGACTTATACTGAAGAATACTGTAACAATGCTATTTGACTATCCTGGACCGACATTAGTTGTGGGCTTTTTCCCCACTACAGCCAGACTGCAACTAATCTAGTTTACCACTAGAACTGGAATCATATCAGGATATGAGCTATTATACTACAGTTGTCATGTAACTTTTACTTAAACATACCCCAAAGGGTCTGTGCTCAACTACCAATAATACGCAAATCTTGTAGAAATAGGACTTGAAATCTCTATCAATTTTGTGGGGGTTGAGAGAGGCTTCTGTTGTTATTTGCTCCTAGGGCCAGGAGTATAAACAGGAAAAAGTATATAGAAAGTAGAATGAAAACAAACAAAACTTGTACTTTTGTTTTACCCGGACATCTGCTCAGCCCCTCTTTGCCAGAGCTGACTTTTGACACAGGTTAAAGATCTACAAATCAAGCTGAGCAGAAAGAACTTAAGAAGAAAAACTCATTATAGAAGATAGTCAGCATGGCTTTCTTGCAAGGTCTTTCTTTTTGCTTTGCTTAAGACTTTCTCAGTCAACTACTTTACATAAGACGTTCCCTACCCTTAGGGTGAAATACCGCAAGCATACTAAACCAGAATTAACCTCTTACACCAATTGCTTGGCCAGTGTACAGCAGAAACAGTATCACTATTATATCACTATTTAATTATATCACAAATCACATCACTACTTACATCATGACTGCATTTGGACTAGCATGACTGCAGGGCAAATACAAGCCAGGTCTCAGCCCCAGCCCACATCACAGCCCTCTGAGGTGTGTTCTACTCTCTGTGCAGCAATGGGCACCTCAATGATTGACTCCAGAATGGAGTTGTAACCACCCATCAGAAACACACATAGCAACCTTCTCAAACTTAAAATCAATTTTGTGTACTCCTTTAATTTCCCTTTTTCCTTCTTTTTTATATTAGGAAATATCTGCATGCAAGCATGAAATTGCTCCTGAACGCTTCACCTCTAAGCATGCAGTATGACTGGCGTTTCTAGAAACGATGATGCTGAACCAAGATGACTAAACCCAATCTTAAGAGGAGATAAACAGCAAATACAGGTTAACTTCAAGGGAGAAGACCTGCCTGTGTACATACTGGAAAAGCAAATCCTCTAAAAGTACAGAAGATGATCAAAGCTGGTTTGCTTTTTTAAATTTGGGGAGAGTTGTGTTTAGGAAGAACATCTTAGAAATGTTAGCATGAGTTTACAAAATATTTATTATACAATCTATAAACTAATACAAAATATATATTAGTTGAAAAGATGTCAACTGCAAATTTTAAGAGGAAAAATGAGTTGTGAAAACCCAAATAAAGGGAATATTTTAGCCATGTACATTCTTCTAGCTAGTTATCAGCCAATTGTATCCAAATTATTTGGCTTACAAGAGGAATTTAGTATTTCAAAAATACAGAATATATTAGAAGTTAAACTTTCAAGCTACACACATTGCAGAAGATACGATGCATGCCTACAGACATCTTTTTTATGTTTCCCTATTTTAATATCTATAAAGAACAGCAACAAATGGAGAACAAGTTGCAATTCGGTAGTATCTTAGAACAATTCATTCAATGCAATTCATACAAACAGAGCAACCAAATGTGTTTATGTCACTCCATAGAAAGTCTTAAATATTCTGTATCACCACAGGTGATTTTGAGACTTCCCTCTTCCATTCCACTACCTAGATGGAACAAGCTTTTACAAATAGAAAAGGAGTATGTAACACAAAGACTGTACGGTTCTGGTTGGCGTCTGCACAATGGCACTACAAACAAAAAGCTTCAGACTTATTTTGGAAGAAGCAGATTTGAAGATTAGGTAAAAGATTACACTCTTAACTTGTAACGGACCAAGAGCTTGTATAATCATATGAGAAAATATAAAACCTTGATGACTCCTGTGCATGCTTGGTCACAGATACCAAAATTATTTAGCTTGAGTTGTCTTAATCTATGAACAAAAGTAATTTTTCATTTTTATCACCTTATTACTTACTAGTCAGTTCTATTAAAGTATCTTTGTCCCATGTGTTTTAAAATTATTTATCCATTTGTCACTTATCCCTTGAAGGCATTACGTGATTTTCTGTTTGTGGCTGATTGTATCTTAGCAGTGCCCTCCTTCACAAGCAGGGTTTCAATAGCCTGAACTAAACACTACAGCCCGGAGTGAATGTTTTAAAATATTTTTGAACTTCCACTGTAGTCTGAACTACATTACCATATTTCCTTTCATAATCCTTTGCCTACCCTACCAAATCCCTGCAGGAAAAAAGGTGAGACAAATTAATCCTTGATGAAACAGAGCTGCGCTAGCACAGAGTGTAACTAGCTTGCTTCTTTTCACTCTGCAAAGCATGAAACTCTCCACCGTTATAAAACTCTGCCAGCAAAACACACCATACAAATGTTTTAAGGCTGCATAGATCCCGCACAACTTCTTTGTGTAATCGCCTCTCTGAAAATACCATTAACCTCATGGCACCCAGAAACAAAAATTCTGAAAACAGTCCAGCAGTCACAAGAAGAACAGAAGATAAGCACCATAGAAACATATTTACTATTTACATACAATCCTATAAGTCTTTGGAGACTTCATGCCAGATGCATTTTATCACTGATGTTCTCATATGCTAAGACAGTTTTAATCCTCTGTTAGCCCACAGCTGTTACTATTAATCCGCTGCATAACCACAGGCTGTGAGCTTTATTTAAAGGGAGTCTAGAAAAGTTCAAATGCTCTCACAAACACAGCTCGCATATTGCGGTGGGAACACTGTCCCCAGAAGACTCCCTATTACCAATCAATCACCCTAGCACTTAAAAAAAAAAAAAAACAAACCAAAACCTAAACTAAAAAAAAAAAATCCCCAAAACAACAAAAAAAGCCCACCCCAAAACCAACAAAAAAGCCCCAAACAGCAAAAACCTTCAGCATTTAGGTGCTTTCAAAATTCTGCTCTGATACATGGCAACTGCCACTCTGGGTAGGCCCAAACCAGATATAAATAATACCGAAACTGAGGGATTTTACCTTATGAGCAGCAACGCTACTCTCACCCTGTATCAGCTGTAACGTTTTAACCTTGTGCGCATCCTCTGTGTTCGCAGAAGGTCAGAGTAGAGCAGACTGAAATTCTGTAACTGATGTGACCAATGTTGCCAAACTCTCCTGCACTCTTCCTCTGATCAGCTGCTAACACCCCCAAGTCTCCCCAAGGGTTGAAGATGTTTTAAAAAAAAAACAACTAAATTCACTTTTTTATTTTTTTGCCACAGATGCTGGAGTTAGGGAGCTGGACTGCATCACTCTCACCTACTCTTTTTTCCTGTAACCTTCAACACAGGAATTTCCAATCACTCAGTCTTACACAGGACTGAAGTCTCCAAACATCGAGCTCCTCAACCTTTTATGACTCCCGAAGCCACCTGCGTGTGAGTGTGCACAGGCTGTGGCCTGAGCTCAAGGCATGGGGGGAATCTGACAGGAGCTCACCCTTGAGACTTCCCTTTACAGAAACCAGATTGTAACTCACACAACCAGGTTCAACGAACATACTGTACCTAGGTACCATGGAAACTACCCTCCTTCACAAATTCCCTGTTCTTTTTTTCCATGAGTGTTACAATTCTATGTTGATGGCAAAGTAAGAGTTATTTGATTATTACCTGAATGCCACAGGACTTCTCACATGGTCTCATTCAGCTCCTTTGTCCAAAGAGGAAATCCTCTATTTCACTTCAAGTGTCTGTCTTGACACATCCCTTCCCCTTCCACTCAGACTTAAAGAGAAAAGGCGGCAATACCCTACTCTAAAGTCATCAACCAACCAAAGAGACTCAGAGGGGAGAAAAGTTTGTTTAAAAAAAGAAGAAAAAAAAAGTCACAAAAGGCAGGAATGAAAAACGTCCTTTTGGAAGGGCCATTTACAAGCGTGCCTTATCTAAATTGATGTTTCAGAAGAAAATGTCATTAAAAGACATATACACTTTAACTATTCTATCCAATCGAGTAATACAAACATGACACTAATAACATTGTTTTCACAAACACTTCTGGCACAAATCTTTCCAGCTGTCCCTCAAGGTGTAATACTGCCTCGAGGAATGGAGGGTGGCAGTGCAGAAGCCAACAAAAAGAGAACTGAAACTCCTTTTGAACCAGGAGAAGATTCTCTGGTACACAGAAGACCACTGCAGTTACTCGCAGAAGAGTTCTGCAATGAAGATACTGAAGACATTGCCTTGTATTTATTTTTTTTCCAGATATGATGATTTTAAGGCTTTTTTTCTCAGAAGTAACCTGCTTTTTGTATTTGCATTATTATTGTCATTATTATTTTTCTTTTAAAAATTTCGCTGATACTCTGGACCATGCCTTTTCACCCAATTTTTTTGACTCTCCAGCCACATTTTATAAATATTCCAGGATCAAATCCTCCGTGTGCTGCTCCCAGGTACATTCTTTCTGAGGGAATTGAGATGAAATAACAGGTTATCCAACATATGAGTCAAATGGTGGCTACATGCTCTACAGTCCCCTATAACTAGCTCTTTTTCCCCCCCCAATCCCCACATGATAGTTATCTCCATGCTAGCTAGATTATTTACGGAAAACCCTACCATTTTCAAAAACTAATGACTTTGGCTTACTTTCAGGTCTTGTAAAATGCATGCATCTTTTGTTGCCTTTTCCTCTATTTCCTCAAGCTTGCTTTATTTTTGCAAACAAGACTTCAAGGCTTCAGCCATGTTTCACTACTGCAGATAAATGATACTTTGTAAGGAAGGAAAAGTTAAAAACCTGTCATGGCAGATAGTACCATTCTCTTGCATTTCCCAGAATTACCAACTATTTACTACGCCTACATGAACCACCAGCATGAAAGACTAGGCTACCCG